GAAAGACAGATGGCTGTTTAGGAATTTTGAAAAAAGAATCCATTTTTTCAGAGGTAGCTAAAATAACAATTTTTTAACTTTGAAATCTACTATCTCAAACGTTTACGTGGTGGACTATTTTTGTTGCTGGAAATTATTACAAATATATTCATTGATTAATGTAATAAATAAAGGTTTAACTATCTACATAGTCGATGGCATAAGCAGCTTGTTATATAACCAGCATTATTAGACTTAGTTTTTTAAACAACTATCCAAAAAATACAGGTTTATTTTGTAAAATTATTCAAACGATTTTAAATAACACGTTTAATGCACTAACTTTTTCTTAACAACATGTAATTATTAAAATGATTTAACAAATAGTGAACTGTTAGATGGTTAAGTAAAGTTACAGAACTTGAAAATGACTATATCTATAGTCCTTTTTAAGTTCAGTAAACTTAGCTTAACCATCTATCCGAAGTAGAACCACTGTATCCGCGGTGCAATCGTGGCCTGATGGTCATGGCTGCTTCATATGTGTGCCGCTGTTGTCTGTTGTCTTAGCCTCGACTGCCTAGGCAACCTGAAGGCGCTTTCTCCACCGTTTTTGCGTTAGTCTGCTGTTGCCATTTGGTTTTTCACTATTTATTTTTTCCATCAACTTACGTATTTGCTGCTGTTGTTGTTAATATTTGCAAGGCGACTTTATCTTAACAAGATCGAGGGCACAGGACGAACAGTGGCAGGAATGTGAGTGTGCGTTGCGCCATTTCCTATGTCATTTAAAATCATTTTGCAAGTTTTGAGCAGACCTTGAGTTTGTCTTTCTGTTCCACTTGCTCCTCTACTTGCGTCCATTCTTCCTTCAGCAAGGACTACTGCTATGCTGTGTTCAGTTCATGTGCACGGATTTGTTTCGTTATCGTTTGTTGGAGTGTCAGAAAGGACAAGCACAGGAACGAGGCCAAATTGCTGGGAAAAGGGAGCCAAGTAATCGGTTGTGTGGGTATGAAGGCACTGCATACGAAGGCCAGGGGTTCAGTTAGTGCTAAGTCCATCAAGTGAGCAGACAAATTCCCCCGTTTGATCCGGTTCGATCTCAGTTAATTTGTTTATAGCTTCACCGCAATAGGTGGTAAGGTACATAAAAAGCTGGTACCAACACTCAGCCCCGGTGCTCGGTGTTTATTTAGCTTAAATTAACTTGACATACTCTCGTTACTCACTTCGTTTTATGATTTTGTGCCAGCTAAGAGAACATTTTTCATTTGCTCAATTTCAGTTGGATTAACTTTACCTTTTTCAGTTATGTTGAAAATAATATTCTGACCCACTCATAAACCACTTTCAACTTTTCGGACAGACACTCTACTAAATCATAAAAAGAGATGAAAATATGATGTATCCCAGTCCCCAGACCATAAACCATTTGAAAGGAATCAACAAAAAGCGAAACAAAGCTCCCATTCCGAGGACATATTTCCACCATAAAACTCCTGGCAGGAGCACAACCATTTCTGGTTAAGGCGCCCCACACATATGAGCCATAAAAAGAGTAACAACAAATACTGAATTTGTTATTAAATAACAACATAACGATATCTAATTTCAAGGGCGGGGATGGGAGTAGGCTGAATAATATTTAATAAATTGCGTTAGATTAGATAAAGGTATGGTGGCGATATGGGGGACTGACTCTGGTAACTGGTAGGTCATAACCATTGCATATTTTTCCCGTGGGGTGCCATTGTGGCCCATTGTTGCCATGGCTTCCAGTTGGAAGTTGGAGGCTCCGCCAGTCGGCCTATTAACCACATTTTAAGCATAATTGAATTTCGTGCATAAATTTCGGTTTATGGGTCGTCGCAGGGAGACCACGACCCGGCCAGATTATTACATTATTTACTGAGTGTTGTGTGTGTGTTCGGTACGTTTTGGGTACATTTGTTGCCGGGCCGGAAAGAGACGGCCAGATGTCGAGCAAAAGAGAGGCCAGACCAGGTGGCGCCACCAGACGACAGAGGCATCAATTTTATATGACTCTCTGTGCGGCCCGACTCCCTCTTGTTTCATGCTTTTTTCCGCTTTTTGAAATGGTTCACTGCCTCCCGCTGCTGCTGCTGAAAGCCCAAAAAATATTTATTAAATTTCCCTTTTATGATATAAACACAAACATGCGACCATACACAAGCGAAGGCTGAAATAAGCCCAGCAATTGGTTGCAGTCTCGCCTTTAATATGTTTTGTGGTTAGATTGGGGATAGGGAATAGGCTCAGCGGTCTGAGATGAGGAAATAAGTACCAGGCTAGATGACCAATCGGTCGAACGAATAATAAGAGTAGTAAATAAATAACAAATAAGTTATGGCATACTGGTCTCATAGTTTTTAGTCAAAGTTTACTTTTGATGTAAATAAAGGATGGACATTTGCAACAAAATGTATATATTTGTAAACGTATATAAAGTAAAAATTTATCTCAAAAATATTATATTTAAATAATTTTTTATTGAAAAACTCTACTAAAACGATTCTGGACTTTCAGGCCAATGGGCAATTTCTGTTGACTTCAATCAATTTTTGTATACTTAAATAAATTACTTAATTACTTAATTTTATCACTCATGAAATGGTGAAATAGCGTCAATAACATCAGGTGCACAATCTAAATCAAAAAATCCTTATCTTAACCTTCTTAAATAATTCTCAGAACTGGCAAAGGTAATAACTTCTTTGGAATGCGTAGTTAAATTGATATACCACTATTAATCCTTAGCTGCAATTACCAATATTCAATGACAAACATTCTAATTCTCAGCGATTTCCAACTGAGATCAACTAAATCCCAACTTGGGAAATCTTCTGTGGCGGAATGAACAAATCTTTGGCTCCCAAGCTAGCAAAACCAAAGTTTCCAAACAAACAATTGCCGCTCCATTTAACAGACATTCCCTGCGCACACACACATATGCCGCAGTCATATGTTAAGCCTCAAAGCGGTGCCACAAAAAAAAAAAATGAAAAAGGAAAAGGGGCAAAAAATGCCAAGTATGTACAGTGAAAGTTCATTGCCGCTTTTTAGGCGCCAACAGAAGCTCACTGTGAAAAATTCTGAACAATAAAAAAAGGCAGCCATGAACAGAAGCAACACATCAACTTTTTATTAGCTGCAAAATAAACACAGGGAGGAGAAAGGGGCTAAAAAACAGAGAGCAAGACGCAAACAAGAAAACAAACAGCCGACAACTTAAAACGCAAACAGCGGTGGCAAGAGTTGAGTAACAAATATTTGTAACGCGGTACAGACTGGCCCAAATCCCACCCACCATTCAGCCCCCATCCTCCATTCAAGCCCGGCTATTTGCCTTTTTTTGTTGGTTAAGACACTGCCAAGGACCCAGTCAATGTCGAGCTCCTCGCCGCGGTCCTTCGCGACTTAATAAATCTTATTAAAGTGCGCACAGCCTCTAAAGTACGCTACGTTTTTATTTTTTTCTTTTAAAAGGCCTATGCCAAGCGACGCGGGGGTCTGTCTACCTTGTTTTTGCTTTACATAAATATATTTCTTACTCCTCCGCGACTCACTATTTGGCATCGAATCAGGAGCAGGAGGGCAGACTTTAATGTACATCAATTTGGGTTGATTGTTGGACATATAAATGGCGGGTTGGGGCAGATTACAATTGAGTTTTGGATGGGGTGGAAAAAGTTTACTTAAAAAAAATGTTGTTATACATTATGACTACGTAAATTCGGGAGCCTGTTTCTTGTTTTTTAGTGAATCGTTGCTACTATTTGTGGCAACATAAATAACCGAAGCTAGTTTATTGGTAAATTTTTTTTTGATTAAGCTAAAAAGTATGCTTCAAAGTTAAAGCATTAACAATATTTTTAGTACAAAATGCCCCATATGATAAGGGGATTTTCCACAAATGAGAAGTTAGATTTTATTTTTTAAATTAGTTTTACTGGAAAGTATTTAAATAGCTCTCTTCAATAATAATGATCCTACATTTTCTCTTTCAACAAAAAACAAATTCAAATAATTTATTAATTTACCTTAAAGGTTTGTGATATACCAAAAACTTAATAGCTTTCACAAACTATTACAATTAAATAATAATTATAGTATATATATATAAATATTTAATATAGTATAGAGTTTTGTTCAAACGAATCTGCCAAATGTTATGTTATTTATTTAAGGCTTTCTGTTAATTACATTTCCTGTTTACAAGAGATATTCTTAGTTCGTTCGTGTTAAAATATTTGTTTATTCCTTATTCCTTATTTCCTATTTAATTTTTTAGAACAATGTTTATGTGTTGCCAAGTTAAAGGTCTTCCCTCTCCAACAGCAACATCTTCAAATATCCTTACAAAAAAATGTTTCTTGTCAACAGAAGGTTTCCCTCGAGCGAAACCTTGGGGATTGGAGATTGGGGATGTTGCCACCAGCCGGTGCCCATAAATTTGCGGTCTTAATTCAGTTTAGTGGCCTGCCCTCGATTTTGTTTTGCTGTTTTTTTTGTCGGCCCTCTTAATCGCGCTAAATTAGATATAAGCCGATGGCCACAGCTAAAACGCAGATTCAACTGGGCTCAACACCCAAATGGCGATGAGGACTACAGTCATTGCTTTTTGCTCTTTTACTTTGCCATCTAAAACAAATTATCGAATTTGTTTGTTTTTGTGTGTGTGGCCAAATTTTTTATTAGCTGCTTAGCTCTTTATTTGGTTAATAAATTGATTTTCCCTTTGTTTCTTTTCGAAGAAAACTGACCAAATAGAAGATAATTGCCGGACAGTAAATTAAGTTTGCCCGTGCAGACAGCTGTGAGAATTCTACGTAATTGACAAAGGCATTTCCCCCGATTAAAAACGGAATTCCCAAGGCTTCTCTTATCTTATCGTTGATTTAGCTGATATAGTTGTTCAAGTGTTTTTTTGTTGGTTTACTAGGAATTCCCCAGAGAATTGGTCATATATTTAGTATTTGGTATCTGATTAATGCTGATTGAAGGTATAAAGGGTATTGAAAATTTTATTTTAATTTAAATAAATTTTTACAAAATCTTTAAAAATTTGTATATTGCTTTGAATAAATACAAATGCTTTGGGCCACTTGCAACAATTCCTGGCCCAAATCGACGTCATCACCATGACTTGTATAACCTTTTGACATATCATAATAATTGTGATAAGCATTTGCCGAGTGCAATCAATCATTGGGCATATGGATGGCGTCCAGTCAGATTGATTGCCCATTGGATGGGCATTGGGATTGGGATTGGAATTGGGGAACGGAGAATGGGGAATGAAACTGGAATCGCTGTTGACGGATATCATCTCAGAATCGAACTGTTTACAGTGCGTGTTTTTCCACCGGACAGGGGATAGGGAATAAGTTTTCACACGTCCATATTCTCCGCTTCCTTTTTCCTGCCCGGTTTCTTTATGCTTTTTTTTCAAGGAGCCTTCTGCCACCTTTTCCTCGACTGAATAAACACTATGGCTATGGCAGCAATGGCTGACCACCAGTGAGCAGCAGATTTCTTTTGTCACGACTGAGGCATCCACGGGCCGCCGAGTATTTCTCGTGGACCAGCTCGAAGAGCTCCTGCTGGAAATATGCGTGCTCCAGCCAATGGGCATCCTTGTGGCCACGTCGTATTTGCTTATCCCTCAACCGGAACTCGCGCCACAGCAACTGGATGTGCAGCCATTTTTTGGCAATGAAGTCCAGTGTTTTTCGCTCGGATGGCGTTTTCTTGTAGTTGGAAATCGCATGGAAAATGAAATTCGCACTGATTTGTTGCTGCAGCGCCAATTGGTCCAGCACCAGGATTTTTCCCTCCTCCTTTCGACCTTTGTGACCCTGGTGACCCTCCATAATCGGATAGCTGGCGCTCAGCTTTAGTGCGACAATGTTTGGCATAATTTTTAGCTGTTTAATTTATCGCTCGCACTGCCACTTGCTATAAATTATTCGCCAGACTCGGCTTATTCAATGAATTTAATTAATACTATTAGTATACCTGCAGCGCACAAAGCCCAACGGTTTCGTTGAATTTCTGCAACTAAATGCATCGAATTGACTGTCGTGCTTTTATAGCTATTTCAGTTTGACTTTGATAAGCCCCGGCACATTAAAATAAAATGTCTAAATGTGTGGTTTTATTAATAGGTTATTTCATACCTGATAAAAGTCGATGACGTATTAACGCGTGATTCAAGGCGACTATCAAATAATCTACAGGAGAAGAAAAAGTGCGGGAGAAGTTTATATTCAATCTGAACTAGTTGTTAATTTATACCCACAATAAATTTATTGTAGAGTAACTATAAAATTAATATAAACATTAATTTGGGTTACAATTTATAGCTTAACTTATACTTTGCAAAACTTTAGAACTACTTAACTTTGTTTAAGATATCATATCAGAAAAGCAAATTACTAAATTAAGAACATTTATTTTAATTGACGTTAGATGATTACAAATATTTGTCGAGTTTTTTATACAATTTTCTTGTCATTATAAAGGGTAGATTCTTTAAGTTTATAGAATTTTTAAAACTGTGTAAATAAACATTTATTTTAAATTTATTATACCCTTGCAGACGGTATTACAATTTCAGTCAGAAGTTTGCATAGCAGTGAAGGAGACATTTTCGACCCTATAAAGTATACATATTCTTGATCAGTATCATCGATCTAGCCATGTCCGTCTGTCCAACTGTCCGTCCGTCCGTTTCTACGCAAACTATTCTCTCAGTTTTTAAGCTATCTGCATGGAACTTTCCCAAAAGTTGTCTTTATTGCAGGTAGTATATAATTTCTGATGAAAAATCGAGCATTTAAATTTTTTTAAAGTAATGCCTACGTTTAACCCTCAAAAGTCTGTTCAAATACCCTATATTGTACGAGCATGTTTCGTATGTCACGTTGAGTGGGCGGAAGCGGGCAGACAGAGCCAAAACGCCAGTTATCAAATCACACTCACGAATCCAACGGCTGATTCATGAGGGCCAGTCGAATGTGCGCAATGCGCTATCAGGGAATTATTGGCCGATAAGCTTGATAAGCCCCAGTTCGCACGCACTTAACTATGTACCTCACACCGCCGAAAACCCCTCGATAAAGTGGCTACAATAGGAATAGGGCCCGTCCTAACATATTAGCCTACTCAACAAAATCGCTAGACCAAAGTCAATGAACACAATCGTTAAACGTTACTCTAGGCAACAAAATTTTATCACACCCAATGGGTGGGATTTTGGAAATGGAAGGGGCAATTACAAGTTCGAGAGAAATGTTTTGGGGATAAAGCGTGACAATGTTTGTCGTCAAGTGTCGCAGGCTCATCGCTGATAATTGTAACGATTATCCACGCCCATGGCATCATCATTATCATCATTGACGACAACATTATGAGGAAACGCCTTAGTTGAGCGGCAATCTATTCGACCTATTGCTTACACTCATGACTTAATTACGTTTCGACTGCATTTGTATATAACTTATTGTATTACAAAAACGATGTGAAGGCCAATTAGAAATATTACATTCCTCCATTATAATAAATTTTCTAATTTTTGTTTAAACATTGTAAGCTGCCTTTTATTTCAATAAATGTATTTATAAAATATATCCTATTTAAATGTTATCATCACACTCCACAAACAGCATAATTCGTGTAATTTATCACGGCTATTTTATAATATGATACAGATTTTGATGCCAATAGCGTGATATCGGATTTGGCATAATCACTATTTGCATCATTAAGCAAATAAAATGAGCTGTCAGTTGTGGCCTTTTTCATTTACTTTTACTATATTTTTTAGTTTCTGATATTTATTTGTAATCTGACTTTATTATAGCGGCATTAAATGGGCTGTTAGCACTGCTATTAAAAAAAAATTTTAAATCAAATGAGCTGTCAATTACGATTATTGCTGAAAATTTGTTTTACTGTTTGCAATTTGCTTATTTAACTTTGTTTTTGATTTTAAATAATACATATCGATGTAATTCACCCACTTACTTTTTAATATTCTATATTTGTAACTTTGCGCATTTTCTCAAATCCATTTTAAAATTAAATTGTGCAGATATACATATGCATTTAATTTAAAATTCAAAAATGCGTAAAATGTGTGGAGCAATTAAATGTCTGGTTGGAAATGAAAATAATTATGGGTAAGTTTGAAATAATTAATACTTTTAAATTGGTTTATAAATTCTTTTTAAGAAAATAATAGGCCCAATTAAAATTTTTTTATAGAGGAGTGTACCAAAATTGAAAATCATGAATAATTATGCCTTACGGCTACAATCAAATTAAGCTTTTGACGACTTTCAATCCACTTATTGCTATGGTGGTCATTAAACATAAATTATGTTTTTTATAGATATAGAGGTATTAAATTTTAATTAGCATTGATCTTTTAAAATATATACAATAATGCAGTCAAATATAAGTTATAAAATGTTCAAGCGGCTTGAATGACTTACATCGGAGACAACAGTAGTTCTGCACCTTCCGTTATATAACCGCCCATACCATCGGCCATTCCACATTATATACGCTTCATTCCTCTGCACATTTCATTGGTCAATTGACTGTGAAAACCTGTGAAAACAAAAACACAACCGTGGGAGGGACAGCAGAAGGACCGAGGTCCTGGCCAACAGGCCATGGAAAATTACTAATGCATTTCTAAAGAGTTTTTCATCAACTAAAGTCCCCAGCAGCAGTAGCAGCTGCTTACTGGATGTTACCTGTAACCTGACTCTCGCTGCCATTCTTTAAGGCAAATATCATTAGCATTATGATGCCACGTCACACCCACACCCACTTCCATCCAGCTGGGTCCCGAGCGGCAAAGTCGTTGCTGTGGCCCATCATCAACCACGTTCCATATGCACATTTACACAAGCCGCTCGGTGGAAGCCACACTTTCATACAACCGGCGGACATATCAAACCCACTAAGATACACCTACAATCGTATACCCTTTCAGAACATTTCCAACAATGTTCTATCAGATTAAGTCTTCTTGAAAACTTCTTCCGTTAGTTGAAAACTGGGTTTCAAAACTAGCTAATGTGTGTAAAAGTATGAAACAATATATTTGAAGTCGACAACTTTTAAACGCCTTTAAAAGAGATTTTAAAACTCTGGTGATATATAAGCTCAAACAATTTGATTAGGCAACTTAAAATAATACTTAAATATTTAAAATTAAATTTCTACAGTCACAAAAATGTTTAAGTGAATCTTTAAGCTATGTTCCTAATGTTCTTATTCTTATCCGAAGCCTTTTCCCCAGATAAAGCTAAAAACAAAATAATTAAAGTGTTGAATAATAACTGAAAGAATGCAAATGTTATTCAAAAGTTTTGAAGTACTTCGGATAATATAGACATGAAAGTTCCTGAAATGCTTACTCTTGCCTTCCTTAGTCACAGTAACAAAGACAAGTACTTCGAATAAGAACAAAATGAACAACAACGCGAAAAGGGAAGCCAACGCACGATGAGTGAGAAAAATCATGTGCGCAAATACAGAGCAGATTGCTAAATCTATTGCCCGCTTGTAGGCGCAAATATACTCTATGGGCTGCACAGTGGCACAAAAGTCCCTTTATTTAAATAATCAACAATAAAAGAATTGAACCTTTAGCAACAAAGCTAAAAATAAAAAAAAAGAAGGTCATGTCTAATTATTTTCAATATTATCTGTATTAAATATATGTATAGGTATATAGGTCCATTGTTTTTAGGTCCATTGTGCACTGAAAACATGTGTGTGAGGAGAAAAGGTGTGCTTGTGTCAGTTGGTTGCCTGTGTAAGTGTTGCAATCGAGTTTGCCTAGTGCAACTTTTTGCTTTTCCATATTACTTGAAAAGCAGGCGATGCGAGCGATAAATATATACAACATATTTCCATTTGCAGGATTGCATAAGCTACAGCCATCTGGCCGTATTTCAGTATTTCAGGATGTTTTTGCGGTGCCTGTGGTGGTGTTAGTGGTTGTGCTGGCTTAACCCAAACACACACGCATGGCAAACTCAGCCCAAGTCTGGCATTATTTTATTCAATTTTTGTCAATTTGTTGCTTGGATACTGGGGTACTAAGATCCGAGGTAGAGAACTTGAGTGGGGGTAAGCCATTCAATCAGAAAGATATTTCACCTCTACCCCCCGGTAAAAATGCACTGCATACATTTGGGTCCAAACACTGTTTACTTTATACCGGGGCCAAAAGCCAGCCTGCCAGCAGAAATTGTTATGAAATTCTCGGCTCACTGCAATTTTTCTCTCTATCTCAATCTGTGTAAAGTGGCCTGGATGTTTGACAAGTTGTTGGAGTTGTTGTTCGTGTTTTTGCTGCCTTTATTGTTGTTACCCGATTGTGCTCTGGTTTAAGCCATTGATTGCATTGAGCCTGCTCCTCGTTCATTTTTGACTTTTCCTGTCCAACCAGCAGAAGCAAACTGAAGTTTTTAAGTCTTTTTAAAAATGTTTTAGCCCCTTTCCAACTCTGTGTCCTTTTTTGTGTGTCTGCTAGTATGTGTGCGTAGATGAGAACATAATCTGACTGATGTTGACTGAATGGATAGGCATTTTGGTAGGCCTTCTGCATTATGATGACGCACAAGTCAGAACAAGCATACTCTGTCTGCTCTAAAACGATAGTTGAAGGCTTACAAATATCCTGCGTAGTCAAGTGGACCCGATTTTGCTGAGCCCTATGTATCCGATATTAAGTACTTGTAATTGCCAGTTGGGCAGTCGGATTGTGCGCATTATGAAATGCCAAATACCAAAGTTAATATAGTCTTGACATGCATTAAAATTAAGTAATATGAACGGAGCATCGCCTGAGGATTGGTTTAGAATTATTGCGTTTCAACATCGGATTCAAAGAAACTGAACTAGGAGTTTCTAAGAGATTACGACTAAGAACATGATATTAATTGTCAAAATTTAATACACACTGTTGGTCACTACTATATTGGAATTCATATACCAACCATAGCTCAACAATACTACTT